AGTTTTAAAAACTAAAACATATTTTTACTATTTCAAAATGTCATAATTGAGCAGCTATAAAATGTAACATAGTTACTGTGATAGGAACTGTGTATCCTAATTTGGAATAATTACTCCATATAGTGTATTTGTTTTCCTAAAAAGCAGAATAGTAATTCAGTGATAGTCTTTCAGTTGGTCATATCTGATGGCTTAACTCCTAAAAACATTCAACATACATTTCCTCTTGAAACACCTAATAGACCAAGAAAAAGTACGAAGCTTTAAAAATCAGACCCACCAGGATATTCTCGGTTTTGTACAGCTATTTATGTGGGAGCCGGTGTCCTCTGTTCTTGCCGATGCTGTTAACATGTCAAGGCCCCCAGTCAGACCCTGAGAGGATAACAGATGACTGCGTACTGGGGTTGGCTTTTGAACCTCAATTTTCAAGGTAAACGACAGCATGAACTCCCCCCACCCCAAGTCATCTCTAAGGGTAGAACAGAGAAAGCAGTATGATACTGGAAACCTATCATGTTAGGGGCGGGGGGGACCTGGAAATACAAACAGAGACCAGAACAGAAGGGAATGAAACAACAAAAAATCATATTATGCAGACTTAGAAAACCTTTAATTTCAGACGACACCATCCTCACAGGTAACACTTCAAGTCTTTTTCAAAAAAACTCTAGAACCTCTCCCCAAGAGGGGGATAGGGAGACAAGGATAAAGAAATAAAGAAAAACAAGCTGGAGACAGACGTTACTGAGATCAGAGATCCCAGCCAGAGCTCCGTCCACCTGCAGAAAGGAGCTGCTGGCCCTGTCCGGCCAGGGAACTCGGTCAGCTGCTTTGCTTCATCTGGGTCCCCAGCCAATGGGCCCTACTAGCTTGGGGCCTGTGCTTCCACCTGCCTGCACAGGGAAGCCAATCTACAGCCCCTCCCAACTGCTAAGGGTGGTCTCCAGTCCTGCGCTTCAGGAAGCCCGGCCAGAGAACTCGGGCAGCCACAGAGCCATTCTGCAGCCCCAGTGAGGCTGGGACCAAGCCAGCAGCCTGCCCTAACAGCTGAGCCTGGCCTCTGGCCCCACGTAAGCAGGGAGCCTCAGCATAAGCCCCCCATAACCCTGGGCAGGCTCGGAGCCCAGCCCACAGTCCCGCCCAGCTGTGCAGCACAGCCTATGGCCCCACCTAATATCACGCTCTTGCTTTTCTTTGTAGTTTTTGCTCTAACTCTTCCTGGTCTCTAGGTATTAGGGCCCCAGGACTCTGTTCTCAAACCTCTTCTCTGATTTTTCTCCAGGTTCTTAGCCGACACTATGCCGTTAAATACTATCAATGTGCTGAGGGTTCCCTAGTTTCTGTTTGCAGCATCAATATGTCCCCTGAGCTCAACAACCAAATATCAAATGCCCCACACCAAACACCAGGGTATGTAATATGATTGTGTCTAGAATAAATTACCAGCTCTTCCTTGCTCACCCTAACTACACTTCCTCCTAAGTCTACATCTCAGCAAATGGCACCACTCTTTAATCAGCTGCTTAGGGCAAAACCAAGGATTCAGCCTTGATTCTTTACTTTCTCCCAAATCTACTCTGAATCCATCAAAAATCCTTTTAAATTCTCTTTAAACAAAAAAAAAATAAGTCCTAAATCTAATCCCTGTCCACCCTTCTGCTGCAAACCCCTGAGTCCCAACTGGTCGCCCAACTGGTATCCCGTTTGCAGAGCTTTCCCCCTACAACCCACATGCACTCAGCAGTGAGCCGTGTCCCTCCCATGCTCACACCCTAGGTGGTCTGGCCTCTGCTGGCCCTCTGACCTCAATTTCTTGCTTCAGTCATGTTGGCATTCCTGCTGCCCATTCGCATCTCAGGGTCTTGACACCTGCTGTTCCTGGGCAGGAAATGCTTTTAAGGTCAGTCTCTCACTTTATGCTGGTCTTTGTTCAAATATTAAAATTTGAGAGGTCTTCTCAAGAGCAATCTCACCAATGGCCATAATCTGCCTGACCTCACTAGCCTCTTACTTTCCCTCATAGCATTTGCTGATGTGTTATTATATATGACTGTCACCCTGATTTCTTCCAGCTACAATATACACTCCTTGCAATCAAGAGTTTTACTGACATTAACAATGCATCTCCAGTGCCTAGAACAGCATCTGGAACACAGGAGGCATTCAACTGCTTAATTAATAAAGAAAGAAGGAAATTCTGCATAAATAATTTGGGTTGATGATATATATATTTTCCATAAATATTATTGGAAATGCATCTTTCCTTTAGCACAGTTTTGTATTTATGAATTCCCCCCACACATGACTTTGTATATTATGGAATTCATGCATTTTATTCCATTTACTCCAAATGGTATATTTGTTTTCTAGTTGATATTCAAATTGAATCACTTTTGGAAGTTCCTTCAAGATGGATACATTGGGTGTTTTAGCCTGATCTCAGATAGTTTGGAAGTGTTCTTGCTTTTTTGATGACCCAAGACATTCTAGGTCTTTCTTGATGCTGCTAGCTACAAATGTGGAATCAGCCATCTATTAATTTTCCTAAGGTAGCAGTTCTCAAGCATTCCTGCACATTAAACTCATCTGGGGAGCTTCCAAAAGCCCAAGGCTCAGGCTGTACCCCAGGCCAGTCAAATCAGAAGCCTGGTGGTGGGACCCAGGTATCAGTATTTTCTAGAGATACAGCCAAAATTGAGAACAATATTGGAGACCCAAATCAGGAGACTCATAAGGATATATTAGATAAGAATACTGGTTTAGAGACAGAAAAAAATAATCAAAACCTAAAATAATGTTTCAAAAGTAAACATTTTTTTCCTGAAGGTTGAATTCATGTTCATGTATTCAATATAACTTATTTAACTAAGCTTTTTCTTACCTTGTACTGATAGAAAATTTAAAATTTATGTGCATGTCTAAAGGTACCTGCTTTTCTTATCTGACCTATGCAATATCATGGTATATGCTGTCATACTAAATTATGTCTATAAGTTACCATATTATTTAAAATATTGAAAACATTCAATTTTCTTAAAACACAATTGTATCTTATCTGAGTATATTGAAAACATGTCCTCCACAATTCACTCTTTTCATTTTACTATTTCATTCAGGGCATATGAACAAGTAACATATGCTACAATTAGATGAGACTATTTAAACAAGATATTCTTAAGAATTACTACATGATACATAATGCCTTGTTAGATCCTTGAGCTAATGTCTCAGAAATAGTGTAACAGTATATAGGTCCTAATGTCACTGGTTTTCACTTGTTCCAATATAGTTTCAAGAATGAGAAGAAAAGTAAAATCACAGCTAACATGTTGGGAATTTTAAATAGCTCTGAAGGCACAATGGGAACACGTCATACTAATGAATCATGTGTCACAAAGAAGACAGAGAACTATTATGTATTTGCCCACTTCTGTATCTCATAAATTTTTCTATCATTTATCTTTTCATTATCTTTTTATGAACCAACTATGAGATCTATTAAAATCCTTGGGACACTAGACCAAATTATGCATGCTAACTTTGACTTTGTACTTCACGATAATTAGATTAATACTTAACCCTTAGTAACAATGGTGTAAAGAAGGGTTCAAAACAGGTTCACAGTACAGGACCTGCAGTTGAATGTTAGTTGACATTATCTCATCCAGATATTTCTTAGTCTTTTCTGCATACTGGCAGCTTTGATAATCATGGGAGATACATGGATTTTTTCTATACAAAAGGTAATGCATAGATGGCCATACATGAAATTTTCATGCCACTCTTATAGGATTGACAGTGGACTTTTCAAGGATCCATTTTAGAGTTAAGAAAACCAGAATCTACAAGCAGACAGTGACTTACCAAGAACTCTAGATTCATTATTCTAGTGTTTTGTTTACTAAATCTGACTTTCAGACTAGTCTCCAAAGATGGTGTTTTCCTGCTTTATTAACATGCTGAACTCCTGTTTGTGTTTGAAATGCCAGGTTCTAGTCAATCTAGAAAGAAAAATGGATCCAGTGGAAAATAAGTATTCAAGTGTAACAAAACAGAAACTACAAAGTGGCCACTGTTTCCAGATTTATTTCAGCGTGTCTTTTTTTTTTAAATGTCACTCCATGATGTTACTTCTCCAAGTGACTGAATTTGGGATCCCACAAAGCTGCTAGCCAGAAAGGTAGAAAACGGCAGGTTGCTACCACTTCAAGCAGATTCTCACTTGTGGGAGACAAAGAAGTAAAACCTATTGAGCATCCTTCTCTGGAAACTTCCAGAACAAGCATGATGGCAAGCTTACTGATAGCTAGTCTGCAGGTATGTGGACTCTAGGAATCAGCAGCCAGAGGAAATGGCTACAAATGGAAGAATAGCCTAGTGAATATCACAGCACTTGGCACAGCCTTAAGATGGAGAAAATCAAGTCAGAAACTTGGGTTTATTCATTTCTCTCTCCACTACTTCCTATAATCCAGGTCTTATCTAAGATGTGGCCAGACCTTAGATACCAAGACAACTCCCTGTTTCTCTACATTGGTTCACCAATGTAGAATCATTTTTATGTTATCACCTTTAGTATAGATAATATGATTGAAAACAGTCTAATATTCCTTCTATTTCAAAACAGAGTAATACTTGTCCAGGGAATATCCCCCATTCATGGGACAACATTTTAATCTCATGATTGCATAGTTCCTATGGCTATCTGCTGGTTGTTCTGTCTGACTCCAAATTTCTGAAAACAGAAACTGCTCTGTTCTGCTTTAGTCACAACCAGTCTACAGACTTTAGGACCAGATGACTATTAAGGGATGAACTGTGCCCCTTCTGAACTCACCATTGAAATCTTAACCCCCCGTACCTCAGAGTGGCCATATTTGGAAGCAGGGTCATTGCAGAGGTAATGAAGTTAAAATGAGGTCATTAGGGTGGGCTGTAACACAGTATGCCTGGTGTCATTATAAGAAGAGGACATTTAGATACAGACACGGACAGAGGGAAGGTGGTGTAAACAGGCAGGGAGGAGACGGCCACCCCAGCCAAGGAGACACACTGGGACAGATCTTTCTATCACTGCCCTCAGTAGGAACCAGGCCTGGCCACCTTGATCCCAGACATCCAGCCTCCAGAACTGTGAGAAAATGCACTTTTGTTGTTTTAGCTGCTCAGTCTCTGGTTATTTGTTATGGCAGCCCTAGCAAACTCATAGAATGACTTATATTTATATTAAAAAAACCCCATAAAGGATAGTGTAGGGTTAGGAGCCCTAGGTGACTTTCTCTGAATGGGGGCCATGCTATTCAACCTCTGTAACTTGTTTTCTCATGAGTGAGACGGGAGAATGAGGCTGTTAAATAGGCAGGTATAAACTTAAGCTAAGAAGGGAGAGACAGTAAGTCTTAAAGATCTTAATATTAAATGGTATCATTCTTGCTTATCAACCAAAGTGAAAGATGGTGATGAAAAAGCAGTAAGTCATTTCTTATCAGTGAAAATGTTGGTTGGTTCAAACAGCAGTGAGCTGGAATTTAAATATGATTTGTCCTGCTGTACAAACTTCCAAGTTTTCTCTTTGGACTGTTCTACAGTGTGAGCAATGGATCAAAAGAGAACACTAAGATAATTCGGATTTTCCAATGAACTATAATATTCCAAAGCCTTGTATATAATATTGAATGTGTTGATTCATTTATGCAGTAAACTTCAGGAAGAGCTAACCCCCTTCCCTGGTTTTAGCTGAAGTTTCACACTTGCAGCTTTTCAAGATAGCCTTTTCTTGCAGTTTTCATAGTAACTTGAATAAAATGATTATGTTGATATTATTTTATGTAATGACAATGCTCCTCCCATCCATTCAATCCTCGTCCAATCAGGACAGAGAAGGGGCTTTCTCTTTTATCACCGAAGCCCCATCACCCAGTGTAGCACATTAGAGAGATAAACAGAAAGGACTCGAATCAGGTCCCGAGTAAACATTTTAGGATGGGGAACTTTCAGAGAACAATTGCCAAAACAGGAGGCTTCCTGTGTGGGTCTATCGGCTGTGATTTCGGTTCCAGTTTGTAAGTTTGCAGGTCTGTCGGAGGGAAAACAAAGATTTTTGTCTCAACCTTTTATCTCAACAAGGTTGGCTGAGGGTTACAGTGAGAAATAGGAGGAAGGAGAGAAAAGAGAGAAAATGACTTCCTTGTGAGAAATAAAATGAACTCCTAGGAATGATCAACTTCTCCTGTCCCCAAAACTGCTAAAGAGAATCCTGTTTTCCTCTTAAACTTCCGGCCCATTCCAGGGGCAGTGAATTCCTCCCAGGCAGACCTGCCCAGTCCTTACAGGACACGAGCCCGGGGAAGAGGGAGGGAAAGACAGGCTGGAACCTGGGGCTGAAGAGGCTTTTCTTCTTGGACCTGAGTTCGGAAAAGGCTGGAGAGGGTAATAAACTCATGGGAAGTAGTGCCTGGGAAAACATAAAAGGCGGTACCTGCCGGGGTGGCCCAGGGGACCGTTTGACAGCCTCAAGCAGAAAGAGGGGAGGGTCTGAATTGCTTTGATGTTTGTTTCAGTTGATCAAGTTCTTTATGGTGCTGGAGGGCATCTCCCATCTCCCTGTAGGGCTGGGGTTAGGGTCCTGCTGGGGAAGGCCTAGGAGAGGGCTGTGTAGCCCTCTTCTGTGTCCTTCCAACTCTGGGCAGGTAGGCCTGCAACAAGGCCTCACACGCAGCCAAGTACTCTGTCATGTTTCCCACCGAAGCATCACTGAATCAGTAGGAACCAGGCCTGGCCACCTTGATCCCAGACATCCAGCCTCCAGAACTGTGAGAAAATGCACTTTTGTTGTTTTAGCTGCTCAGTCTCTGGTTATTTGTTATGGCAGCCCTAGCAAACTCATAGAATGACTTATATTTATATTAAAAAAAACCCCATAAAGGATAGTGTAGGGTTAGGAGCCCTAGGTGACTTTCTCTGAATGGGGGCCATGCTATTCAACCTCTGTAACTTGTTTTCTCATGAGTGAGACGGGAGAATGAGGCTGTTAAATAGGCAGGTATAAACTTAAGCTAAGAAGGGAGAGACAGTAAGTCTTAAAGATCTTAATATTAAATGGTATCATTCTTGCTTATCAACCAAAGTGAAAGATGGTGATGAAAAAGCAGTAAGTCATTTCTTATCAGTGAAAATGTTGGTTGGTTCAAACAGCAGTGAGCTGGAATTTAAATATGATTTGTCCTGCTGTACAAACTTCCAAGTTTTCTCTTTGGACTGTTCTACAGTGTGAGCAATGGATCAAAAGAGAACACTAAGATAATTCGGATTTTCCAATGAACTATAATATTCCAAAGCCTTGTATATAATATTGAATGTGTTGATTCATTTATGCAGTAAACTTCAGGAAGAGCTAACCCCCTTCCCTGGTTTTAGCTGAAGTTTCACACTTGCAGCTTTTCAAGATAGCCTTTTCTTGCAGTTTTCATAGTAACTTGAATAAAATGATTATGTTGATATTATTTTATGTAATGACAATGCTCCTCCCATCCATTCAATCCTCGTCCAATCAGGACAGAGAAGGGGCTTTCTCTTTTATCACCGAAGCCCCATCACCCAGTGTAGCACATTAGAGAGATAAACAGAAAGGACTCGAATCAGGTCCCGAGTAAACATTTTAGGATGGGGAACTTTCAGAGAACAATTGCCAAAACAGGAGGCTTCCTGTGTGGGTCTATCGGCTGTGATTTCGGTTCCAGTTTGTAAGTTTGCAGGTCTGTCGGAGGGAAAACAAAGATTTTTGTCTCAACCTTTTATCTCAACAAGGTTGGCTGAGGGTTACAGTGAGAAATAGGAGGAAGGAGAGAAAAGAGAGAAAATGACTTCCTTGTGAGAAATAAAATGAACTCCTAGGAATGATCAACTTCTCCTGTCCCCAAAACTGCTAAAGAGAATCCTGTTTTCCTCTTAAACTTCCGGCCCATTCCAGGGGCAGTGAATTCCTCCCAGGCAGACCTGCCCAGTCCTTACAGGACACGAGCCCGGGGAAGAGGGAGGGAAAGACAGGCTGGAACCTGGGGCTGAAGAGGCTTTTCTTCTTGGACCTGAGTTCGGAAAAGGCTGGAGAGGGTAATAAACTCATGGGAAGTAGTGCCTGGGAAAACATAAAAGGCGGTACCTGCCGGGGTGGCCCAGGGGACCGTTTGACAGCCTCAAGCAGAAAGAGGGGAGGGTCTGAATTGCTTTGATGTTTGTTTCAGTTGATCAAGTTCTTTATGGTGCTGGAGGGCATCTCCCATCTCCCTGTAGGGCTGGGGTTAGGGTCCTGCTGGGGAAGGCCTAGGAGAGGGCTGTGTAGCCCTCTTCTGTGTCCTTCCAACTCTGGGCAGGTAGGCCTGCAACAAGGCCTCACACGCAGCCAAGTACTCTGTCATGTTTCCCACCGAAGCATCACTGAACCATCGGGTCATTTTTCAAGGGTGAAATGCCATTTAATACTGGTGAAGAAAACGTCATCCTGCACTTCTTTATACTTACACAAGGAAGGGGAAAAACATGAAAACCTCCCCAAAGAATGTCTATCCATTAATGAGGAAGGGAGATAAATCCCGCTGCCGAAAGGAAAAGGAATATTATTAGCCTAGCTTGGCTATCAGGCATCGCTTCTGCCTGCTCCGCACAGGAAGCGTGGAGTTGGCCAACTCAGCTGTAATAATGACACAACCAGCCCACAAGCACCTCTACACCTGGCTCTGCTGCAGACAGGAGGAAACAGGGAGATCCCAGTAGGGTTTCTGGGTCTGGGGGCAAATAGTCATACTAGGGAGAGGGTGAAAGTGTAAATGCATCAACTTCACACCTTGTTAAGGACAAAATCTATCATCCAGTTACTAGGTCTGATCTATTTCCCTTCTCAGATCTGTAGGAGTCCATTTATGTTAAAACTATGGAACCTTGCTTTATGTATATTAGAAATCATATTTTACACTGTAAGAAAGCACGCCTGAGGGTCACTTATTCAAATCCCTGAGCACTTAGCAGACAGAAGGTTCTTTAACCGCAGACATGTGCAGTCTGTGATATGTATGACCACCACATCTCAAACCAAGGGGGACCCGGTAGTTATATGGCATGTCAGCTTGGAATGGGGCAAAGTGCTTTTGGGGCACTTTCATTCAGAGACTAAGTGCATAGATGCTGGCTGGTCGGCTTCGGTTTGAATGCGGCTCCAGTGCTCACAGGGTGATCCTAGTCAAGATTCCTTGGCACCTTCATTGCCTCGTCTACAGCTGGTGATGGTATTATCTCCTAGTTAATTGCAAAGTTTAAGAAAATTACTATATGTAGAGTGCTTAGAATATAGCCAGCACTTAATAACTTCCAGCTGTTTTTCTTTTTTTCATATTGATTAGGGATGGTTCACACTTAAAATTATATAAAGTGTTAGTTTCATTAGACTCCAAATGCTTGAAAGTAGCCAGTGTCTAGAAACCAATATGATAAAGATTAATGATCACAGAAGTCAGCATACTAAAACAAGTGAACATGTGATGAAATCGAGCTCTGTGACATAGAGCGCTACATCTGTTTATACAATAGGGACTCTCTAACCCCTTTTAGCAGTGACAATCGTGTTTTTACTAGTTTATATTATCCCTTATTATTGGCTGAAGTTTTTTTTTACTTTAATATGCTTTGTGGAAACACTTTCTCAGAATTAATCAACTATTTGCAAAGTTGACTTTAAGAAAATAGCTATTTTTTAAATAAATTAGAAATCTGTAGGTGTCTGATCAAATTACGTTTTCTATTTTAGCACAATGCAATTTCCCCCTTCTTCAGAGCGTCACGGTTTTATCTGACAAGTATACTTCCCACTGAGAAAAGTTTGGGACGTTGGGTTTGATATTAGGTCTTCCTTTACTTTTTAAGTAAATGAAAATGCAATTTTAACTCATCTTCTCTTAGAAACCCTCTCTGTAGGCAGTGCACATTATTAATGGTGAGTTCTTCCCTTTTGGTTATGTGTCTTAATATCAAATCCGGCGGTCACGTATGTTAGAACTGATGTTGAATCTCAGTGACTGAAAAAGAAAGCAGGACATATCAGAGTGAGGAGGGGACAGTGACCAGGGTTCCTTGCCACCGTGTCT